AATATCGAAATTCCTAAAATCTTACTCTCACATAATTTATTACTAACCTGCGAACAAATTCTTTTTCCTGTGTCATTGCAATAAGCGCGAGAATGATGTAATCTTTTCCGCCTAGGATCGACCTTCAATACATGATTGTTTTGTTCGCTTCTTACGAGCTCAAAAGTTAGTTGTTAGTTTAAAATTTGAATTGCGAGCATATTTTTAGACGAAGAAAGTGCATTCAAGAGTAATTATTTTCTGAAATTCATCTGCTACTTATAATGCTATAGAGTAGAAAGTTACAGGGTAGTTGCAATTATTGTTACGTATATATAATTCTCTTAAGTTTTGAATGTTATCACTGTTCATAATTGAACCTTTTTTTAGAGTTTTGATGGCGAAGATACTAGTAAAACGGCTGTTGCGGACAATCATAAATCTGAGGTTTGCTTTTTTTTACTTGACAATTCTATTGACTTTTTCTATATTTTCTCCAGTTTCAGACTTTCATAGGTTTCATTGTTCAAAAAAAAACTTGTCGATTTGCTATATATCCCTAAACACTTTCAATCAAAGTTAAAATTCATCCGTTGCGCCTAATACACTGTCCAATCAAATTGACCCGCATGTTTTTGCTGCGGACTTCTTGGGAACGGTCGATTGAGATTTGCGCAAGTCGGTATATCGTGGCTGAAACGTTGCGGAAAGCGACGGCAAAACACCGAATGATCCATCAAATCGCAAAGTCTTTGCAAAGTCGCGCTGTTGAGAAAGTGCGTCGCTAACCATATGTGGGTTGTTAGACTAAAATCGCAGTGCACTCAATTTTTTCATGTGTTCTTTTATTCTAAGCGAAACATTTGACTATAGGCTGCACATGGACCTCTCGCTTCTTTACAAAATCAGAATAATTTTTTCAGCGGGAAGTTGGCGACTCGAAAAGGCGTGACGTAGGATATATCGATAAAGATTTAGAACTCGAAGATGTCAGCGATGAAGATGATGGTAAGATAAAAAATTTTCTTTTTCTTATGCTTGTTCAGTAGAAGAGTTTGCAGATATTCAAATGACGAAGCTGGACAAGCCAAGTATCCGTATAGTGAAGCGCGTTGCAGAATCAAACGGGGTTTCTTTGAACGATAATGGAGACGCTTCTCCTCAATCTCCTGAGGCTGCTGCTAGCGTATGTGTAAAGCATTGTTTGTACTTTTTTGCAGTATACATGTTTATTCCAGATTCGGGTGGTATCAAAGGGACAGCGTTCTAGCAGTGAACTCTCCTCTGAAAGAAAAGCTGAACAGTCTGCGAATGCTGCTGACGATACTCATCCTTCAGAATCTAAAACGGTCAGCTAAAAGCTTTTCAACAAGAGCACCTTATGATTATTAGCTGGAAAGATGCTTTGCAAAAATTATAAACTATTTTTCTTGTATTTGATTGTTTCCATTTATCATGACTGCTTTTAGTTTCAAAAACAATTCTCCATTTCTTTTCTTGTTGCTGTAAGTCGAGCACATTTGCAAGTATTATATCGCAACGTTTGAAAGCAGTCCTCTAGCATATGTTGTATAGCTTTGTTTTCCTTTTTATTATTTTTTACAGCCTTTTGCGATAACTTCATGTTATTCCAATTTATTTCAGACTGAGGACGGTTCACATACCTCAGCTCCTGCC